TTCAGTAAGGTATGATAGAAAGGGTAAGGGTAATGTGAAGGTTGCAGGTGTGAAGGCTGGTTCTGTAACCAGTCATGTGAAGAAACATGGGAAAAAATTTACTCGGAGTATTGATCTGATACGTATGAAGGACTGCGCCGCTAAATTAAAAGTCTCTGAAAAAATTGAGCAAGTTGTTGCCGTTGAAGTTCACCGTGACCAAGGCTACTTGCCCTCTTCTCTTTCTCATCTACATTAATGACCTTCCAAAGGAGTCTCAACATCTCAACCCAATTCTATTTGCTGACGACACAACCTTCATTTACTCCAGTCCTGACCCCCTTGCTCTAAATGTCACAGTGAATACTGAACTAAATAAAGTCCATCACTAGCTAACTGCCAACAAACTCACCCTCAACATTGACAAAATTTTCTATATTTTGTTTGGCAATAAATCCTCAAATCAAATAAATCTCAGGATTAACAATACCCAAATTTGTAACAAAGTAGATGGCAAATTCCTTGGCGTTCTCATTGACCGCAAGCTGAATTTCCAGGGACACATTCTAAATATATAAAAAAAAAATTCGCAAACTGTTGGCATTCTTTCTAAGATCAGATATTATGTTCCTCGCCCTGCCCTGGTGACACTCTATTACTCTCTCATCTATCCTTATTTCAACTATGGTATTTGTGCTTGGGGTTCTACTACCCAAAATCATTTACGTCCTTTAATTACTCAACACAAAGCTGCTATTAGGACAATATCTCACTCTGGCCCCAGACATCACTCGGTACCCGTACTCAAATCTCTGAATAAGTTAGATATTAAGTCCCTGCACATCCTCTCATGTGTATTTTATATATATAAAACGCTGAACTGTAATGTCAGTCCAGACCTTAAAAGCTTCATTGAAGGTTATAAAAGATCCTATGAGCACCACACCAGAAACAAATACCTATTTGACATTCCAAGAGTACGACTTAGTCAAACTAGAAATGCTTTACAAATCAAGGGAACTCGAATGATGAATAACCTTCCCAATCATGTTAAAGACTGTACCTCTCTCAACCAGTTTAAGATAAAAACTAAGCACTACCTAATTAACTCCCTGTAACCTACCTTACCCCTATAATGTCAACCCTTGTCTGCTATTTTAAACAATGCTGTTTTGTTGACCAAATTGTATTTTTGTTTTTTTCTGCCATGTTCCCCCCCCCCCTTTTTTTTCCATATTTTCTTATTTTTTCTCAACACAATTTATACTTTAATCTCAATTAGTATTAAGTTTTAGTCTTAGTGTTTTTCCTGCCTGAAACGCTTTGCGTAATAGTGGCTTTAGGCATTGTATGTACTAGCTTTATCTATAAATCCATAAACTTTTGTATCTTATCTTGTATGTATGTACCTTACCTGAATAAAAATTTATTTATTTATATTATTATTATAAATAACAATAAATTATTATACTGAAATAATATTAATGGATAGCCGTTATAATGATAATGTATTAAATCAATTACAATTAATAGTTACATCTATAATTAGTAATTGAAAGTTGCATTATTTGAATTTACACTAATTACAATTCTTCGTATTCTTGGCTTATCATTTTGGGGGTTCCGGCGGAGCACCCCCAAAGATAACACGAATGCGTAGCAAGATAGAACACGTGTCCCCAGAAACCTCCTTGAGTGTCTTCCCTTGAAAAAAGAAAACAGGGGATGCAGAGGAGGGTGGGCGTTTTTTTATGTGAAGTCGCTACGAAGGAGGGTGAACAGGGGTCGCCGAGTCTGTGGGCGCGCTTTTAAGTACCCCGCTCGGTGCGCGCGCACCTTAGACGGTTAGACTGAACTCTTAGAAATGCGTTTTCTTCCCACAGAAAACCCACGTACCGCTTTTGTAAAAGCAGTGTCTGTATATCAACCGATTTTGAGTCTTTCTTGGTTATGTGTTGTATGTGGGTGCTGAAGTTCAGTCTCTTGGGCAAGGAACTTTTCCATCATTTTTATTGCTGATGTTAACATTGTCTATCTGAAGCTGAATTGCATTTGTTGATTTGCTTCCACATAAGATGTAGTAGGTCTTTTCTATGTTTAGTGTTAGTTTGTTGGTTGACATCCATAAGTGGACTTTATTAATTCATTATTTACAACATTATTTAATGTGTGTAATAAAGAACCCAGTCTGTGGAACTCACTCCCTAATGAATTGAAACGCTGTCCAACTTTTGCGTCAATCAAAAACAAAACTAAAAAGTACCTAATTTCATCTTCATAGTTTTTTACCTTGTTGCTTTAAAATTGCACTGAATCTATTGCTACCCAATCTCCCAATCTTTATGTACCCAATCCGAACATCTTTACCATTGCTGTCTTCGTATATATGCTATCAATCTGCTGTATGGTGCCTATTAATCTTGTTTAAAATTACCAATCAAGTTGTCAATGTAATCAATCAGAGCTTTAATATACCAATGTGCATTAATATACTTACTAATCTCTCATCTCATTTTTATCTTGCAATGTATCTGTTATCATTTTATTATTCTGCTAGAATTTGCCTACTTAAAATTATCTGTTAGATTAAGGACCTGCCCGAAACGCTGCGCGTACTAGTGGCTTTACACGATTGTAAATACTATGCTATGTATTCCCACAAACCCAATGTACCTTCTTGTATATAAATAGTCAACAGCAAACAATATAGGCTTAAGAATGTTAGAGACATTATGCAGATCATTGATGTATATAAGAAATAGGAGAGGTCCTAGGATGCTGCCTTGTGGCACCCCTACGGTTAAAAGTAGTAAGAGAGGTTATATAATTGATGGCTACATATTGGTGTCTGTCACTAAGATAGGATCGAATATAGTCCAGGGCAAGGCCTCAGATTCCATAATGGTGGAGTTTAAGTAAGAGGTAGTTATAGTTAACAGTATCATAGTCCTTTCTGAGGTCAATGAAGAGTCCAATCGGAAACTCTTTTGTTGACCAGACCACACACTAGAAGTTGAAGGGACGACGACGTTTCTTAGGCTTCTCGTCCCTCTCTCTGGCTTCGCTATGTTGATGACATTTTTGCTTTATGGCCTCATGACCTTGATCTTTTCCAGCCTTTCCTCGCCTCTCTTAACAATCTGGCTCCTTCTATCCATTTCAAAGTTGAGTGGGAATCTAATTCCCTCCATCCTTTTCTTGATGTTCATGTTCACAGCTCTGTGTCTGGGTTCTCTTTCTCTGTCTACCGTAAACCCATGCATAGTGGCATGTGCATTCACTTCTTTTCCTACCATCCTCCTTCTGTTAAGTAAAGTGTCCTCGTCTCTCTCTTCCTCCGCGCTCTACGCATCAGCGACCCTCAGTTTCTTGATTCTGAAATTGCCTTTATCTACAAATCATTCTCTCGCCTTGGTTATCCTTTGCATTTCATCAACTGTGCCTACTCTCAAGCTAAACGAAATTTCTTTCATCCTAAACCTGCTTCCAACACCAGTAGCACTGTACTATGCCTTCCCTTCATATCTGAACTCAAAACTTTTACCAATACCTTTCGTCCTCTTGACATTAAACTCGCCTTTCGTCAAACTAACACACTTCGTAGCAATCTAGTTCACACTGCTCCTGCTTCTAATGCTGCTGGTGTCTACTCTATTTCCTGTTCATCTTGTCCTCTCCAATACTTTGGCGAAACTGGCCGTACACTGAATGACAGACTAAAAGAACACAAGAGAAGTGTTAAGTCTGCAGACACTAACAATGCTCTCTTCTGCCATGTGAGGGATTCTAATCATCCCATTGACTGGTCTTCCTCCAAAATAATCTTTCCTGCCTCTACTCTACACAGACGCCGTCTTGTAGAATCGGCTCTTATACACAATGTACCCAACATGAACTTGAGTCCTGGCTTTGTTGCTGTGGACTCTTCCCTTTCACAGTATATACTCAAATGCTCTAATCTTTCTAACAAACGTGACTTAACATAAGCTTACCCCTTCCATTTATCTTTCTTTTTCTCTTTCCTTTTCTTTCTCTCTTCTCCCTTTTTCTGTGCATTGTCTTCTCCTACGCTCCCTTGCTATCCTCTTCTTATTCCTATTACTATCTCGGTAGTAATAATAGGAGCTTCGTATGGGCCAATAGGCCTTCTGCAATAACTAGACTTTCCTCCTCAGAGCCTGCCTACGTATGGAGAATGGTCCAACGGACCGAAACGTCGTCGTCCCTTCAACTTCTAGGTCCTGGTCAACATGCACGTTTGTGACTCATTATTACTAGATTATATCAAGCAGACTATCATCCTCCTTTGGGCGTGGACACCTGACTTTCCTCCTCAGCTCTCTCTTGCCTATTTATTGCCTGTCCCTACCTGTCCTCATCACAATCGACTTGAGAATGGTCCAGGACGGACCGAAACGTCGTCGTCCCTTCAACTTCTAGTGTCTGGTCTGGTCAACATACTTCAGCCACGTTATTGTGACTCATCGCCTGCATATGGAAACTTTTTTTTGTCAAGGGCTGAGATTATATCAAGCAGACTAATAATTACATCTTTGGTTCTCCTTTGGGCGTGGAAGTCAAACTGACAGAGACAAAATTCAACATACTTAGTATGTTGAATTTTACGAGGTGGGAGTAGAGCTGTTTGTAAATAATTTATCAAATATTTTTGATAATATAGGTAGATTTGATATTGGTCTGCAATTATTTATGTCTGCCGGTTTGCCTCCTTTATGAACTGGCGTTACTCGTGTTTTTTAAGGATATCTGGGAAGGTATGACTATAGAGATTTGTTGAACAGCAGAGCTATGGATGGCGCAAGGGCATGGGAGGCCCTTTTGTATTCCATAGATGGCATTTCACTAATATTCCCAACTTCGGTTTTTAGTGAGTAAATGATGAACACAACATCTGTAGGGCTGACTGGTGAAAGGAGAAGAGTTTGCATAGCTGCCTGAAAGATGTGTGTTAACATGTGTCTGAGTCTGTGGGATCTTTCTGGTTAGGTTAGCATCAACCGATGAAAATAAGCTATTAAATTCAGTTGCCGTTTCTAAATATGTTGCCGGTGTATAACCATCCTTGTAGAGTTTTATCTGGTTATGTGAATGTTGTTTAGATCCTAGGATGTTAGAGATGTGTTAACTGTAGAGGACGGGCTGAAATAAGAGGCACATTATGAGTGCATGAAATGGTCGTGTTGCAGTAAAATATTTTCGTGTGTTAACCTGCGCACACCTGTGACGATAATGGCTGATGAATGCGCACACCTGTGACGATAATGGCTGATGAATGCGCACACCTGTGACGATAATGGCTGATGAATGCGCACACCTGTGACGATAATGGCTGATGAATGCGCACACCTGTGACGATAATGGCTGATGAATGCGCACACCTGTGACGATAATGGCTGATGAATGCGCACACCTGTGACGATAATGGCTGATGAATGCGCACACCTGTGACGATAGTGGCCGATGAATGCGCACACCTGTGACGATAATGGCCGATGAATGCGCACACCTGTGACGATAATGGCTGATGAATGCGCACACCTGTGACGATAATGGCCGATGAATGCGCACACCCGTGACGATAATGGCTGATGAATGCGCACACCCGTGACGATAGTGGCCGATGAATGCGCACACCCGTGACGATAATGGCTGATGAATGCGCACACCTGTGACGATAATGGCTGATGAATGCGCACACCTGTGACGATAATGGCCGATGAATGCGCACACCCGTGACGATAATGGCTGATGAATGCGCACACCTGTGACGATAATGGCCGATAAATGCGCACACCTGTGACGATAATGGCCGATGAATGCGCACACCTGTGACGATAGTGGCTGATGAATGCGCACACCTGTGACGATAATGGCTGATGAATGCGCACACCTGTGACGATAATGGCCGATGAATGCGCACACCTGTGACGATAGTGGCTGATGAATGCGCACACCTGTGACGATAATGGCTGATGAATGCGCACACCTGTGACGATAATGGCTGATGAATGCGCACACCTGTGACGATAATGGCTGATGAATGCGCACACCCGTGACGATAGCGGCCGATGAATGCGCACACCCGTGACGATAATGGCTGATGAATGCGCACACCCGTGACGATAATGGCTGATGAATGCGCACACCCGTGACGATAATGGCTGATGAATGCGCACACCCGTGACGATAATGGCTGATGAATGCGCACACCTGTGACGATAGTGGCCGATGAATGCGCACACCTGTGACGATAGTGGCCGATGAATGCGCACACCTGTGACGATAGTGGCTGATGAATGCGCACACCTGTGACGATAGTGGCCGATGAATGCGCACACCTGTGACGATAGTGGCCGATGAATGCGCACACCTGTGACGATAGTGGCCGATGAATGCGCACACCCGTGACGATAATGGCTGATGAATGCGCACACCCGTGACGATAATGGCTGATGAATGCGCACACCTGTGACGATAGTGGCCGATGAATGCGCACACCTGTGACGATAATGGCCGATGAATGCGCACACCTGTGACGATAATGGCTGATGAATGCGCACACCTGTGACGATAGTGGCTGATGAACACTTACCAGACTGTCTACATGTTGAAGCAATACACGTTCCTTGGTTGGGAGAGCACATGTTGAACTCTCTATATTCTGATGACAAAAATTGTGTAGTTTCTACTATCTAGCTTGATGCACAAGCACTGACCGTTGTTATTTGATTTAAACATTTTATAATTTATGCTGAAGATTGGATGATACCAGTTCAGATTTATTCCAGTGATATTCACAGATAAAACAAAAATAGAGGAATCTGGGCAGTTTGGTGTTACCTCACCTCGTAGTGCCTCGTAGCCTGGTGGATAGCGCGCAGGACTCGGGATTCTGTGGCGCGGGTTCGATCCCGGGCGCCGGCGAGAAACAATGGTCAGTTTCTTTCACCCTATGCCCCTGTTACCTAGCAGTAAATAGGTACCTGGGTGTTAGTCAGCTGTCACGGGCTGCTTCCCTGGGGGTGGAGGCCTGGTCGAGGACCGGGCCGCGGGGACACTAAAAAAAAAGCCCCGAAATCATCTCAAGATAACCTTTGGCTACTGACTTAAGCTATGCAGTAGATCTACTAATGTTAAATGTTTGCTGTGCTTGTAAATACGGCTCTTATGGATCTAACCTAAGTCGGTTCAGAGGATTTGTTTGTAAATACGGCTCTTATGGATCTAAACTAAGTCGGTTCAGAGGATTTGTTCCTCTAAACTAATTTGCTTCAATAAACTGATGTATTTCTTTGTGCAAGTTGTTCATCACAAATACCTTACCTATATGAACACTGGGGCAAGTGTTCATATGGATAAGCACATATGAACACTTGTGTTCAGGCAAGTTCCTGAACACTATGTACCTTGATCCATGTTCAACACCACCACCACCTTCAGGATGGGTTATGGACGGACCATCATATCTATTACATCACTCTTAGGTTATGAGTACGTTAAAAATATTATGGTTAAGTCTTAAATAACATTTAACGAAATTTTCTGAAAACAAACAAAGCTAAACTCTTAAGACCGAAAAGCAATTCCCTGTCCCTCCCCCCCCCCCCTCCTTCTGTATATTTTCCAATTTCATAATCTTCGTAAACCGGTAGTATAGTGCACAATTAATTTTAGTACTTAAAATTTTAATAAAGGGATGAATTGAAAATACAATATACAAAATCATTATTATAATTATCACAAGGACCACAAGGTAACAAAACAAGATAGCTTGCTTTGGGGGTCTCCTCATAAAGCTAACCTGACAACTTTAACCTGGATTACCAGAACTGATCTAAATATATTTGTACCTGGAGAAGGTCAGCCACGTCTGGAAGGCTCTGCTACAAGGTCTACAAATATTCACATCCCCCAACCATATACATTTTACAGACAATGAAACTAGTGCTCAAAAAAATGTCCACACATTATTCCCATAAGCCATAAATATTATTAAAAGCTTAAACTAAGAAAACTTCCAGAAAGTGCCCACACGAAGCATAATGAGCGTGGCGCAGTGGGCCCCATATGCAGCTTTAACAACTGCCCGCCCGACGTTCAACTGGGGTATGGCTTTACCTACACAGGTGGCCAGCTTTTATCATCTGTCGACGAGAACAGCTGTACCACCACCTGGCCAGCACTCCCCACCCCCACAGTCGCGGCAGCATCAGTGGTCCCATACATCCTAAAGGCGTTCCGAGTCCGTCGTCTACACTAAGCTTTGGTTCGGCGTCGACAATCTGCGAAGATAATTATGCAAATTACCAAATCCAGTATTTACAAGAATAAAACAAATTATAGTTGTAGTCGACAAATGCACAGGTTAAGCTTGTAGCAAGCAGTGTGTCTCCAATTTCAAATTAACCGATACTATCAAAAATATTTGAAAAAATTATATACAAACAGCTCTATTCCTACCTTATAAAACACAACATATTAAGTCCCTGCCAGTTCGACTTCTGTTCCCAAAAAGAGTACCAAAGATGCCAGTATTGGTCTGCTTGATATAATCTACACAGCCCCAACATCTACATCAAACCCCAACCCACACAAACTAAATATTGTAAATAATGAATTAAAAAAAGTTCACTTATGGATGTCAACCAACAAACCTCACACTAATCATAGAAAATACTTTGGAAGCAAATCTAACCAATTCAACTTCAGATAGACAATGTTAACATTATCAATAAAAATGGTGGAACGTTCCTTGGCCTATATATAGACAAGAGACGGAACTTCAGCACCCATATACAATACTGCCCAAAAAGTCTCAAAAACGGTCGGTATACTCTCTAAAATCAGATATTATGTTCCCCCACTCTGCTCTCTTCTCATTATACTATGCGGTAATCTATTCCTATCTCTGTAATGCTTTTGCGCTTCCCCTCACAGGATGAGTATGGGGTGCATAATGAACTAGCCGCCTCCGGTGGCAACAATCAAATCAATGTTACATAGGGTATCTGTGCATGGGGGTTCAACCACTGCAAATTACCTCAAGCCCATCATCACTCAGCAAATATCTGCTATAAAAACTATAAAAAAACTGTCTTCAGACAACACACAGCCCCTCTGTTAAAGTCCCTTAACATGCTAAACATACACTCACTACATGCGTTCTCATGTGCTCTTTACATGTACAAAACTTTGTTCCTAAATGCTAATCTTTTCCTTGATAAGTGTAACAGAACCCTTGAGCACCACACGAGAAATAAATATTTCTGATATCCCAGAGTCAAACTAAATTTATGCAAACACTCCATGCAAATAAAAGGACCCAGTCTATGGTAATGAATTAAATAATTGTCCAACATATGTCTTATTCAAAAGTAAAAATTAAAAGTACCTAATTTCATTCTCATAGTTTCCTACCTTGTGTTTAAAACTCCCGCTGGATCTCGCACTACCCACTTCCCCAATCTTAATACTTAAGACATGCATCTTCACCTCTTAAGTTATATTTTAGTTGTAAGTTGAAATCAAATTTTGCTACAATGTTACGTTGAGGTGCTTCCGGGGCTTAGCGTCCCCGCGGCCCGGTCGTCGACCAGGATTCCTATGTACCTATTCATCTTACGTGATCTGTTAGGTTAAGGACCTGCCTGAGACGCCATGCGTGTTAGTGCCTTTGCAAGAATGTAAAAACACAAATGTTATGTACTCACAAACCCAAAGTATCTCCTTGAAAATAAACAAGTAAATAAATAAATAAACTGAGAAACTGAAGAATCAAGTATATAACAAATATGTCAATTATAGTGTAGTGGATTATGCACAATGAGATTATATGATTGAATATGTCTCATTTATCTTTTATAGTACTGTATTAATAACAGAACTAGCGGATACAAAATATAATCCCAAGTGTTGTAAACCCCTACGCTAAACAGTACAGGAATGAACAGGAGTTTACAGTAGAGTCACCATACTTAAAGAGCAAGGGAACTCTAGACAATGTTAGCTGCAGTGTCTTATGAAACATTAGTTAATATACTAATACACTGCTAGCTGTTGGGAATAAGACACCTCTAGCCTATCAAGGTCCTATCAGCCAAGGGTCAACAGCCAACTTCCTAGTCCAGAAAATGATGGACATCAGCACGTCCGTTATTGCTTCATAAGAAACCCGTGTGCCAATATGCGCTTGTGACTCTATACTTGTTTAATGTATTATATAATCACTGCAGCTGCACAATTGTTTTAGCTGTTGTTAAAATGATTTTGTTTGTGTTTGCGGGGTCCCACTCTGGTCCCCCCCCCCCACACACACTTCAGTTTCTACCTCCCCCCAGTTACTGCTCCCTGCGCTCTCTCCCCAACCTTATCTGCGAGAGGCCCTTACCATGTGAACTTTCCTCAAGGTTAACCTTTATTACCCAGTTACTTGTTATTATACTGCACACTTTACTAGGGGTTACCCGGCATTGCCCGGGTCTGTGTTTCTTCCATTTGTATGTATATAATTATCTCTTCATCTATCTACTTATCTATCAGTCCATAAATCCAGCTACCTTTCTATCCATCTATTCATCTATCCATGTATGTATCTGTGCCCGTCTAAAAAAAAATCTACCATTGCTGGGTGGTGGTTGCCGGTGAGAGGAGCTAGTGTAAAATATTAGAAAATTGATTAGCCAGCCCAAGTTTTAGGTATTACGTATAGCCTCCATGTATTATGTATAGCCTCCATGTATTATGTATAGCCTCCATGTATTATGTATAGCCTCCATGTATTATGTATAGCCTCCATGTATTATGTATAGCCTCCATGTATTATGCATAGCCTCCATGTATTATGCATAGCCTCCATGCACACTGGTGTATGTAAAGTAGTCCATTAACCCTACACGTCAGCTTCAGGAACAAAAGAAGTCACACTACTATGATTATATATATATATATATATATATATATATATATATATATATATATATATATATATATATATATATATATATATATATATAAATAAATTAGAAAATCAGTTGGAGCATTAAGGCGACTCTCCTCACCGGTCAGGGCAGTACCAGCAGCCATGCACTTGTTGCTTCAGTGGAATATCGTGGCACAGGGGTAACGTGTGTCGCTGGGAGTACCCTGATCGCTGGTTCGAGTCCCCCCTCAGTGCTCCAACTGATTTTCTCATTAATATATATCATGTCACTGATTTCTTTGTGTATCTAAAACTTTATTCTTACTCTTAGTTTAATTATTTCCCCCATTCTGTTCTACAACCTCAAAAATCTATATATGTAATACCATATAAGGGATATATGGGGATAAGACCTCTTTAGTTTATCGAGGTCCTATAAGCCATGAGTCTGATTATTATTATTATATAATCATGATAATTATTATATAATCATGATAATTATTATTATAATACTGTAATATATAATAATTATATAATAATTATTATATGATAATAATAATAATAATACTTGTTTATTCTCAAAAAGGAACAATGGGTTGGTGATATTACATAAAATTGGTATTTCTACATTCATACAAAGCCACTAACACGCAAAGCGTTTCGGGCAGGTCCTTAATCTAACATATCATATAAGATATGTTACACTGTAGCAAAATTTTCTATCAACATATAACTACAATATAAATTGAGAAGAGGTGATTACACAGGTGAAGATATGACTTAAGTGTAAAGGAACTAGAGGGTCCAGTTCCTGAACCGATTATGTGCCTCTGTAACCGTCCAGAGGCAGAGGCCAGAGGTAACTGTAACACCACCGCCCACGGGATGGGTATGGGGGTGCATAATAAAGAAATAAATTTTAATAATATTGGGGAAGTTGGTAGTGCAAGATACAGTGTGAGTTTGAAGCACAATGTAGGAAACTATGAGGATGAAATTAGGTATTTTTTGGTTTACTTTTGAATAAGGCATGGGTTGGACAATTTTTTAATTAATTAAG